AATTCCATTTACAAGACAATTGTTTATAATAAAATTCCATTCAATCGGTAGACTCATAACGATTGAAAACATTGTTTTGTTTGAGTATGGGTTTGATCAATTTCGTAAAAAAAAAAACAAAAAAAAAACACCTTAAAAAAAACTAATTGATCTATCTCTTACTGTTACATTCCCGGGCAACGCGTGTCCGTAATAAATCAATTCTCACCACTATATGAAGGTCAACCCTTAACGAGACAATTTTGCTTTCGATTTTGGTAATGGATATAATGATGGCATATATTGTGCTGGTGCATAATTATCAGTCATTTTGTATCTAAATGAAAATTCCTGTTTTGTTTCGATAATTATTTTATTTTCATTTAAAAATGTGTCGATAATTGTTTACAAATGTTGAAATGTTATGTTTCTTTGTTCATGATATTGTTTAAAACGCCTGATAATTATGCACCAACGCAATATGTAATTAAATCTTATATATAATCTTATACTATCTTATACAAATAGAAAAAATGTATACATTCTATATAGTTAGCAAAGCGATGAGTCCAAAATGCAAATTACAAATCGGAGATAGCAAAATCAAATAAGTAGAACATAAATAAATATCTTGGAAGTGTTTTAACAGAGGACTGAAAGTGCGATACTGAAATCAAAAGGCACATTGGGATAGCTTTCCAAATGCTAAGGAGAATACTAGGAAGCAGAAAAATCAAGGTTAGAAAGAAAGAGAAAAAATCCTGAAATGTTACGTGATATCTGTCTTATATGGAAATGTGTTCGAAATGAAACCCCTCTACACCGCACCATTAAGACGTGTTGTGTGAATATATAAACCTACCATAAAGTCACATACAATTCCAGGCCACACATTAATTGGAAACTGGATTTTACCATAGGTATTCTGATTCGCCGACAAATGTTGGGTGTTTAAATTTATTATTCAATCAATTCCAAGTGTTACCTCATCACTAAACGAACCTGAAGAGAAAAAGAACGGATCGGCAGTTTGTGCAATAAACTATCGGCAAAATATATCTCTTAGCGAGTGACCAAATGATACAGATGCAGGAGCTGCCCTTGACTTACCCTCCATGCGGGACTATGAGATGTACGGCATGCTAGAATCTCTTGACGGCCTGTAGAATGTGTTTAGACGTACGCGCGGATGTCGGTTTTTCTACATTCATATATTGTGGCGCCACGGTTCCCGTCTCAGCAACGCGTCAATAAACAGCATCAAGGATTAAATGACTCGGCTGCCTTCGGTCCGGAAATACAATCTGATACAGCTATGCAACCACGCGTGGCCGCGTGTAAAAATCATATCTGCCTGCTCACGATATGAATATCTTACCATTGTTAAACGTAATACGTCTCCGTTAATTAACTACTACACACGTTAAACGTTGAAGACATTGTAGCTACAAATATACACGAATGACAATTGTAACCTAGTCTTTATGGCAACACAGCGCCATCTAACGTAAATTTCCTTTAAAATTAATAACTCAAATGCGAAAAATTTGCGGACATATATGCCCTTGTCTTTTGGTTTTGCTGTGATGTACCCTCCCCCCAAAGTTCGCAAAAGTAGTTTTGATACATCCCATACATACATACACACACACACACACACATATATATATATATATATATATATATATATATATATATATATATATATATATATATATATTATGAATGTCCGACTATTATTTTTAAGACATTTTTTAAAAACATAATTCTCGGACTTTGTCTATTTCATAATATATGACGTCATTTGTTTACATTTGGCTACGCATTGAGCAGATATTTATGTATGAGAGAAAATCATTGTGTTTAAATACAGTAAAATCGGCCATGCTAACCGAACGCTCCTCTGTGGCCCAAACAGTAAAGGAACCTCAGGCTATATTGCGTATAGGATAGAGGTTCGATTCCTTCGGAGGACGCATATTTTCTATGAAAATTTCTCGGACATTCAGACCAGTAAATGTTGTTAATACTGTTTATTATAAACAGAATATTTACTAAAATACTTGTATCTATAAAAAGAACGTATAAAAATAAAAAAACTGTCTTAATATATATATATATATATATATGTAAGCAAATATATGGATATAGATCCGACAGTATGAAGAAAAATATATACGGAAAAAACAAAACAAAAATCCTTATATACGACATAATCGTATATAAGGATTTTTGTTTTATTTTTCCGTATATATTTTTATATATATATATATATATATATATATATATGCGTCTGTGTGCGTTCTTTTCTCTCGCCTGTCTGTCCATTTTCTCAAGCATGCACATGCAGCCATAAAACATCATTTGGGGCAACTGCCACTGATTCTTTAACTGATATTAACTTTTGCGTGCTCTTGTGTCCAATGGGAATGTGTAAAATCATTTTTGCTGTTTCTTTTCAAGAAATGATGTTTTCGCTTTGGAATCTAAACGTTGTTTGTCTTCCCTTGCTGATAACAGAATGTCCTCGATACCAAACCTTTTGATTTCGTCTTGCCTTTTAGCAGAACATGGCTTTATTCCTACGCCTGGAGAACTGCAATGTCTCAGGAGACATCTGTAAGTCGAGATCAATATAGAAGAGGAAAAACCGCTATCTTAGTTGAGGGAAAAGTCTTATCGATCTATCGTTTCTCCTGAAATTATTATCGTTATCTCACAACGCTCTATTGCTTCAACTGCAATATTTCAAATCTTTCAAGGCAGTATAATCTTGAGATAATTTGCAAGTATTAAATTCGCTTTGTCTAACTGGACTCTATCCAACATTATATATCGTTTGAGCCCCTAATCAATAATTAGATCAGTGGTTTCCAATATTCCCTCTCTCCCCCTGCTTCCCTTCGATTTTCAGATACTTATTTGAGCTGGAACTTATGTTAAAGTTGCCTTTGTAAATACAGCAGAATTAATGCAACAAATAAGCATAATAATAATAATAATAATAATAATAATAGCAAAGACAAATGCAACCGACCAGATACAGAAGCGATGGCAAGATAAACCGCTTCATGGCCAATACTCTGCCCGTACCAAACAAACTGACGTAGACAAAACCCGTACCCATCAGTGGGTTGAAATCACGGTTGAAATCTGAAACAGAAGTTTTTATCCTAGCTGAACAGGACCAATGCTTGTTAACTAGCACATATACTAAAATATCGTGTTAGCCCAAAATGCAGATTCTGTGATAAATATCCAGAAACGATTCATCATCTTGTATCAGTTTGCACGATATTGACAACCACTGAATATAAAACCCGGCATGACAGAGTGGGCCAATATCTGCACTGGAAAATCTGCAACTTCTACGGGAAGAAAACTGAAAGAAACTGGTATGAACACCACCCAGACCCGGTTACGGAGATAGGACCTGTTACAATTCTATGGGACTACACAATACACACTGACAGAACAATCAAAGCCAACCGTCCTGACATTGTTATTAAACACCACTAACCCAAAATGTGCGTCCTTATTTATATGGCAGTCCCTGCTAACTGCAATGTATCTTTTAAGATATTAAAAAAAACTGTCAAAATAAAAGGATCTTGAAATATAATCTAAAAAGTATGGCATATGGGAACATCAACAATCACTGTTGTAGTTGGAGCCCTCGCATTGGTTGGAAAATATTCCAGTGGACTAATTGAAGGAATTCCTGGAAGCTCATGCCTCAAAGAAATACAAAACATTGTTCTGACAAGTACAGCCTACACTTTACGAAGGGCTTTATCTATGTTTTTTTATTCTTCTTTTTTTTGTCAGTGGAAAATATGATGCCATCTTTAACCTTAGGTCCCTGGGCGGGACCCGGAAAGAAATGTGTAAACGCCAGAAATCAAAGGAAATAAAAATACTAATAATAATGGCCTGTTAATGGATTTCCTAGGAAAACTAGTATATTTCCATTGTCCATTTCCCATTAAAGGCATTGGTATACACACAAGTTAAAACAACGGACGGAACAGAATAGCTGACATATCCATTGTTTCCGATGAGATTTATATTGCCTCAAAGTCTCACAAGAAATGCAAATACCAGTCAGTAATTTCTCCCACACAGAAAAATCATAACACAGAAATAAAACAAGCAGTGTGAAAAGGGGCGAAAAACGAAAGGGTTTTACTTGTAATATTTCCCGAAGAGGAAAAGCGAGTAGCCGATGGTGCCGTTTAGTTATCTGGTATGTTGATGTAGTTTACTCCTTACTATCTTAACTGCCGTAGCCAGTCATGTCATGGTTCTCTGCTGTCTACATAGCAACTCTTGCGGGCAGGCATATCTTCTGCGCGTGCTAAATAGTAAATGGTGTTCGTCAATTTACAGACTGACGTCACTCACTGGCCTTCACGTGACCCACGTGCATTCATCTTTTTCAAAGGAAGATATCACCCTTTGTATATCTACACTATTAACAAGATCCTACCGGACACAGATTTTAATGTAAGACACACCTAAAACATATAGGCATCATGTGGTAGGAAAGTATCTAAATTGGAAGATATATAAATATTTTAACGACACCTAATATAGAATAATAGCATGAACAAATAACCTGCTCCAGATCACGAAAGCCAAAATCTTATAATACGGCAACAGATACAAATCCAACGCTAAATGTCATTAATACAGACATAATAATGAAAGACTAAAAAGATCATAATAAATATCTCTTATTATTGATAGACTGATTTGTTTTTACGGCTTGTCAACCCATTTCAAGTTAGAAAATATATTTAGAATTTCAGAAATTCTTCATTTTTGGGAGATATAAGTTATGGTGGTACAATTCTTCCAAATTAACCCATAGCTAGGAGGGGAAGATGTGGATTCATACCTTTCCCAATGGTATTTGAGTGCAAGTTAATATAACGAATCCAAAGGGGGATTGGAACCCGGCTCTCAGATTAACAATTCCGTTCCATTATCCATTACACCAACCGCATAGCCAAGCTAGAAGCACCTGTTATTCCCTAACGAACGCCCATCTAGAAACTGACAAGTCTCGACGTTGCTTAACTTCGGTGATCGTACGGGACCCGGTGTGTCCACATGTTGTGGCCGTAAGCCTATAATGACATATAAATAGCAAACATGATATAAAAACAAAGTTTTTAAATTAAAGGAAAATACAGTAAAAACCCTGACAATTGGACTAAGACGGCCTTCCGTATATGAGGAATTGATTACAAAGTCTGGATATGAGGGGTTTTAAATTAAAATGAAAGAACTGAAATTCTGTTTAACATTTATTTTCAATGCTTTATAGTAAACAAAATAAGCTAATTGTGAGTGAAATATAAGGGAATTGATTTCAAGGAAAAAGAAATAAATTACGTAATGTTAATGAAAATTCATTACTTTAAGTATGCCACGTATGCAAAACAAATAAGGTAATGACTTTTTATTCGCTGTTGCATGATGATTCTTACTCTTTCTAATGTCTTTAAACGAAAACACTTTTTAAATCTACGTGTGTTGTTGCAATCGTCATAACTGAATGCTGGCTTTCTTTCCATAAAACTGACAACCTTTTCATTAGTTTTTTTAATTTCAGTCAAGGTTTATCACAATCATGGATCTCGTCGCTATCTTGTTGCAAATGTATCTCGTTGTTTTCCTTTCCTCTTATTCCCATCATCTTTTGCACCAATACAAGCCATTAGGGTGAAATAACCATTAGCAATTATCCAAAGTAAACTTCTTGAAAAACAGAAATTTCAAATCAGTTACATATCACCAAAATAGTCCAAATATACACATCAAAATTATGCCCCGAAATGCGGGATTTCTGATATGAGACATTCCGGATATGATACACTCCGGATATGAGGGATTCCGGATATAAGGGATTCCGGATATGAGAGATTCCGGATATGAGGGATTCTACTGTATTTAGAAACCTACCACACGAAGATGTAATTCAATTCTTTTGTTTTTACAAATGGCGATCATATCAAAACATCTCTTAGTTATCTTGGCATGATATTTGTTTATTTTGCTTTGAAAGAACGCTATACTTTTCATGGTTTGTCTGCATATAATACAATCACAATATTAAAGATCCCGTTTATTTTTGCTCATTTCTTAGTCCTTACTTCACTAATCGTACAGGAACTTCTGTTTCAACGTGTTGCGGCCGTTCGCTTAATATGTCATAAACATCCACATATTGTCTCACAGAGACATCACTTCAACAGAATTAAAAGAAATCAGAATGTACAAAGGTGAAAAAAGACAGAGCAAGAGTCTAGCAACAAAATGACTATACCGACAATTACAGGAGCACTAGGATTGATTTAAAAAAAAAAGGGAAAAATCGAAAATGATATAAAATACTGTGACATTGAACACTGCTAACTTACAAATAATTTTATCAATGTAAACTGCACATTAACATTCTATGCACACACACACACACACACACATATATATATATATATATATTTGAATCAGACAAGTTTTGATATTTTCGCAGAACACACCAGTGTTTCTTTTGCCGAATCATACAGTATATTTTTAAGACAGACCATGCCAATTCAACTTCATTATCTAAATCAAGAGATGAAAGATTTAAGTCACACAATGTTTGGAAAAAGTCGAATGCTTTCCTGTCTTTCAGGTTTTTTTTATGTCTACCATCTTTGGCGGTTTTCCTCGATTGCTTCTAACAGGCTTCTTCAAATGCATTGAATTGTTACACACACACACACACACACACACACACACATATATATATATATATATATATATATATATATAAGATTTTAAACCAATTACTATTTTATTAGCACCTGCATTCAGTATACGATTTTATGTATATTTTCTCCTAGATTTGTAGTAATGGGTCTTGAAGACGTTAACTTGAATTCAGAACCGGCGATGGTTGATCTCCATCAGGCAATCTTGCCCGCGAAAAAAACACTTCTAATTACGACTTAAATTGGTCACATGATTCGCGATTGATCCGTATATATATATATATATATATATATATATATATGCACACACGTGTAAATGTAAATGAACGAAAAGAATATAAATTCAAACGTTCATAATATTAATTTAATAAAAGCGCTCAATACAAGAGTGAAACAATAAATATTTATTATAAACTGTCACATTGGAACATGCAAGTTTCTGCGACTAAAATTCATGTTTGGCTCGGGCTCTAAAGACGACTCGATATTGGTAATAAAGCATTATATATATATATATATATATGTGTGTGTGTGTGTGTGTGTGTGTGTGTGTGTTTTGCTGTTACATACGATTGGAACTATCCTCAAAATATATGTTTCATCATGACATGTGAATTCCCATCATTTCTTGGATGTGGCATTGTAGCGTCTGTAGTCCGTAGCTTTTAATGGGTAGCTCTACGCAAAACAGTCTTTCATTTAAAGCTTTCTTCACCTAATCTGGTTGACAATTAAGTCTATAAACCTAGTATTATCTGATATTAAGGTATAGCGTCCAGAAGAGATGGATTCATACCTTTCCAAGGTTATGTGCGCGAAAGTAATCACAACGGTCTCGATTTCTTCCCGGTTTGAACTCGACACACCAATAAACTTTTCCACGCCGATCGCTATTGCATTACGAGTACATCACACAATGAATATTGTGAATAATACGTCTTTTTAAATGATTAGGAATTAATTTAATCATTCTTATAATATATAAATGTTCCAGCAGGTCAACTTTTACATATTTGTGAATTGGCATCAATTTTAGGGAAACAGTGTGGTATTAGCCCATTGGTTCTTCTGCAGTTTCCTAATTCAGAGGAACAATTTTCCTTGCCAGTATTTGAATCAAGATTTCACATCTTACCTTCTATTTAACCCTTATCTGTGTGTAGAAAAGAATTTGCGTATTCGTGCCTTTCAAATGTGTTTTTATGTGAATGTAACAGACTAAGCGAGATTAGATCTCGGCTCGTTGGTTTATCATACTACGCCGATAACCATTACAGTGCCCGACCGTTTAATTATTACTGGAAGGAAAAATAATCTATATATTTTCTATAGCATTAAGTTTAAAGTATTAATAGCTCAGTATGAATCCATACTCCACATTTAACTCTAATTATTTTTGTCAAGAATGAGTTTGGCTGTTTCAACATTAAGTACACGTTTATCTAATATGTATCCACCAGTCAATTGTGTGATAAATTCTAAATGAACGTCTCAGAAATATTTTTATATATTGTTCTCGATTATTAATGTATGTAGTGTTGAATTATTGATGGACTCTAATTGTTCCAGATAACTACATATTTTTTCTCTATTCCTGAGAGAATTCCTGTTACCCAACAGCGTAACGTGATCAAATCAGTTATTTTAAGAAAGACTTTTTTCACCTCTTTAGGTTTGTTTGTTTACTGCCGCAAGGCTGTTCATTATTAGATGAGAAGTTTCGGCTATCTTTGTAAGCGCCCGCCAGAGGACAAATTTTGTGTCGACTTTTAGAAATATAATGACATGACAAAGATGCCTTTCATTAATGTATCTTTTCTTTTTTTCTCTGATTTTAAATTTGTTTTCCGCAATTTTCTTAAAATAAGTTCTATCACAATATAAAGTTCACAATAGTCCATCAGTTGTAGCGGCAGCAAGGAGGTTACTTATTGCCTAACTTAGTCTGGTACATGGCCATAAGTTTCGGTGTCATTCACTGTTGAACTATTAGTGAAATATTGTATTTTAGCTTGCTAATCACTATTCATTACAGATGTCATTGATAGGTTTTAATCAATTCACCACAGATAACGGGATAAAGCCACTAAGACACAAAGGGATACTTAGTGTGAAAATATATTAAAAAGAAAATGTTCTTGGTCCTGACCGGGTTCTTCGGCTTCAGTCACTTTCCTGCTGTTCTGTTTCAGCTATGGTACCTAGAATTTATGGCTTTAAGTGCAGTACTAGATTAACAATGTCTTATTTTAAAGTTGAAAGATCTAAATATAACCGTATGTCCTATACTAAAGGTTTCGTCTCTCGCACTTCTAGATTGTGGAACTCTCTCCCGGCTTCTTGCAGTCAACTTTGATCTTGAAAAATTTTAAATGCAATGCTAATCGTTATTCTCTGTTTTACTAATACTTGTTCTTTTATTGTTTTTTTTTTTCATAGTAGATTTTTTTCTATATTTTCTCTATCACTCAGTAACCATTTGCATCCCAGTGGCCTTGCTTGTGATGAAATGATTTTTTTTTCAAATGTGGGGGTGTTACAATCAATCAGGCACAAATTTTATCTGTATTGCTTTTCAACTGATGATGGAAAACGTGACACTGAACTCCGATGTAGAATTTATTATGAAATGAAAAGTATTTCAAAAAGTACAAGAAGAAAATAAAATAATGCTATATCATATCATTTCATTTATATGGCAATGAATGCTGGTCAATATCTATACACATGAGGAAAATTGAGGCACCAGAAATCTAGTTGTATAGAAAATTATTAAAAATAACATGGGCAACGTATGTGTGTAACGAGGAAGTTTTAATGAAAGATAATTGCTTGCCTCCTGAAGTAAGACATCTGAAAGAAGAACACCATATAAATTTCAGTATAATTGATTTGGTTTGGTTTGGTTTACGACATATCAAACTGATAGGGTTATTTAATGACGACAATTTTTATTGCTGCTAATATTTTCTTTTTCAAAAATCTATTTCTGGTAACATTTTTTTCCTCAAAAAATGTATTGATGGTAACATTCTTTTTCAAATAAGTATTGCTGGTAATAATGTATTTACAAAGCATTTCTGGTACTGAAACCTATTTTTGCCCTTTCACAGTGCTTCGACCGCAGTTTAGGGGTTAACTACCCGCCCATAGCCGGGACGCCAACAATCGCCACCCACCCCGGGCTAGAGTGAACCCGGGAACACCAGGAATCAAGAAGTGGCTTTACGCTCCTTAAAACGTCCGCTTTGCTGCTGGGCCCAGTTTATCATCTTAACCAGGACGCGAGTTTCAGCATAAAATAGATTCTTTATTCGAAATATTCCATAGTTTATTTAGTGGCATTGTATTTTATTATGCAAATCG